TCATCTCTGTACCGTCCTGGATGCGCTATACCTCGGACAACATGAATAACCAACAAGCCCGCCGTGCAACCTTAGTGAACAATTCGCGTTGGCTCGTTCAAACAGCTGTTGTCTCGGTCACCGCTATAGAACTGTTATGCGCACGCGCGCGGTCGCGTAAGACGTGCTCGTGCGCGCGTGCGTTCGCGACCGCGATTGTGACCTCAAGCATTGTTTTCCTCGCTGACAGCGCTATCTTGGGGGCAACTCCTCTTAATGCACCGAGAGCGAAGGTAAAAGGGCGAGCGCGGCTGCCGAGTTGGTTCGCTGAATTTCAAACGACACTCCGCAGCCTTTCTTTTCTGCCGGAGAAACAAGCCGGTATATCTACACGTGAAATCTTTCTTTTTATTTCTTTATCATTTCGAAAAAGAGCGAACTCGTATCCTTTACCCCTCCCCTTCACTGCAACACTTGTTCCGAATGCCACGCACACTTTATGATTCATGAAATTCGGAGTGTAAGGTGTAATTACGCGGAAGTGAAGAGCAGAGCTCTTCTTCCCTGTCTTCTTCTTCACAATCTGAGATGGTTTGATACCCCCTGAATCTAAAATGCGCACACAGCTGCAAACAACATGACAGAGAGAGTCACGACTCGGCAGTGCGTCAGTGGAAATGCTGTTTCGCAGCAGTACTATGTTGTATTTGACTTAAGGCTAGAATGGAAAGGAAAGCGGAGTTGTAAATGGTGTCGCTGCTGTCCAAGAAAAGACAATGAAGATGTTATCAATAGAGCCGTGACAAGGAGTTGCTTTCCTACAACAGCCCGTGCAAGTGCTAATGATTTCACTCTGATGTATATGATTATATTTATATACGCATTAAACGGCGAATGTAGCCCACTTCCGTGCAGATATGCAATGCGTTAATGCTGTCTGGCGGCCGGCATTAACACATTTCACTGCAAGACTTGGCTGTGATGGGAGAAGCTTTTATAATATTATGAAGACACGGTTTCTCATGGAGCTAGTCTATAGATGAGATTCGCGTGTGTAGAACAGTAAAAGTACCTCCGCGCGAACAGCATTACCGAGATCATGTACCAGGGAAGTATGTAAGCAAAAATGAAAAACAAAACTGGTGACGAAAGATGAGATAATGAAGATGTGTGCTATTGTTTTTTTTTCAGGAATTATGGTTGGACAAATCGAAAGCGGAAACAATAGAAAAGAATGTAATGCGAAGTGTCAGTATATGCAAGGTTAAATTTCCCCCGCTTCAGAAGAAAATTGACATATAATTTAAATTAAGTCGGGCTGAAAAATCAGCAGCGCACAATATCAAATACTTACAAAAGAATTAAGCATACCAACGAGAGCTGGTAGAGTTATATTACGAAATATCTCGTAATACGACAAATTATTCAGCAACACACAAAGAAATATAAACTATTTAACTCGCAAGACGTCTTTCTTGGTTCTTTCTCTCTTTTTTTCCGGATGAAATGCTTGTCACTGAAAAGCTGCCTGTGGTGCCATCACGTTCAGCTACCATCCCTTCTTACAGGTTGCACAAGTGTGCGAACTCTTTTTTTTTTTCTTTAAGATACCAACTTCCGTACTACGACAGTTTACATCAAGATTTTAAAAAAACAACGACAGAGTAGAAGGCGTGATTAAACAATCGCGGCCTGGAAGGACACCCACAATAGCATGGATCAGTCCAAACACGCAAAGCAGCGTGGATCTGCGGCCGAGAAGCGCGACGCTATGCATTCGAGTGACGTGCCTCTGCATACAGCCACGCTTTAATTAGGCAACATAAGAAAACGTCCGACTAAGAGAGTAAATTGAAACGATAAGATGGAAACGCTTTGGCGCGCGCTCGGCAGGACCTTGCCAGTTAACGATCGGTGGCGGGGGCACCTGGACGTCAACGGTAAACGATACCGTCGGCTGGCCGAGTGTAACGAGCGTGTAATGTGCTCGTCAGCCGGGGTCAACTCGCCGAGGTCGCCCAGCGTGCGGTCGATGAATACGTTTCGCTCGTCGTATCAGCCACTGTCCGAAGAAAGCGGTGCGCTTTGCCGATCGCCACCGCACGCGAAAGCGCACCCGTGACGTCAGCACCATTGCAGCTAGGAGTGACCGCTTCACGCGACGAACAAGTCCGTCCGTAACGTTCAATGCCTAGAGACGCGCATCACTTTTTTTTTTTTTTTTGCGGCTCGGGCCCTGCTTGTATATACGCTGACAGCCGGTGAGTGCGTACGTCAGTTGATGGGCACTTGGCTGCCTTCGATCTCGTTTGTTCAGTTCGCTTGTTTGCTAGTTCGTTCGTACGTTCCGTTTCTCGAAAGTACAGTGCTGGTTGGTTGGTTTGTTGTTGGTGGTGTGCTGTCTGGCTTGTTGTGTGCGATTCTGTGTTGGCTGCCGCTGGAAAGCGCGTCCCACGACACCACTCGTGGCGCTTTACCCGCCTGACACCACGACGCCGTACGTCTCACTGCGTTAGAGTTTGATCACAGCGCGTCTGCACGCCCGTGTCGACTTCCTCTCTTCACATTTTTCTTTCAGTAAAGGGTCAAATAACAACTGAAATATGAAGTAAAGACTTGATGACTCAAGGCAATAATAATTTTCTGGGGCACGAGCGAGCTAACTTTCGCTGCTGCTTTACACGATACGAATCAAAGCTCGTAATTCGTGCTGTGCCAACAATGTTCTTAAGATATTATTTCGAGCAATCGCGGTGCTGGACGTACCATTATGGAAGCTTGTTGGCTGTCGGCAAGAGGCAATTATGAAATAGAATCTTTGTGAATTCGATCGCACTTCTATTTTTCCTGATTGAATCACTTCATACTTGCCTTCCTTTAAGGTTCTTCTCAGGCGTTAGCGTTACAACTATCTGGCATCATTGCGCTCACAAGTTATGTGTGTCAGGTATTATATGGATTGCACGAAATGAAGCATAACGAAACAGAATATACCACGTTTAACACATGTTTATGTACTGCGCTCTACCTTGAGCATTCTGGGAACCAATCCACAAAAATTTTCGTTCCTAATTTACCAGTGCCATTATCCAGCCGCCTTGGCTAGAATTATGTTCTGAGTCAGGATTTGTTAGAATTTTGCCCTACGAACAAACCTCGCATTGAATGTTTTTTTTTTTTCGCGGGGGATTAAGGGCTATGAAGTTTTAATAGTTCTGTGAAAAGTAGTAAGCATAGTGTCAATATATGTCATAAGACCTACTGCTTATTTCATCCTTATTATTCCGGAAACGCCTAAATGGGTAGCGTGCCTTACTATTAAAAATATGTTGTGTCAGTTCTATGATTAGAAAGCCGTAGGTATGATGGCTGGGACAGAACTATTTAACAAAGGGCAAGGCCTCCCAAGTTCTCGCTACATAAATTAGGCAATCAGTAGCTCTACCTGCAGCGTCCAGTCAATTTGCATATTTTTTACTTCGGCTAAAAAGGCTGCGCTCTAGCTGACGTGTATTCCTTACATTGTCATGTAGCTCTGTGTTACGTAAGGAAATGTATTTTAATGCAACGAATAACTCTTTCAAGTATTCTTTTTTTTTCATAACAAGAACACACTGCACTAATCTTAATACCAAAATGATTGCGCATATGTCTCCAGCAATGTTATGAATAGGCGCTTACATGCTTGTGAGTTTTTATCTATACCCGCTCTTCCACGATCTCGGTAAAGAGCATAGTACAGATGAATGAATAAATAAATAAATAAAAATAAATAAATAAAAATTTCAATAAAAATAAATAAATAAATAAAATAAATAAATAAATAGGTTCATCTTCTACGAAGGGTATACGCGGTCCTTAAACTCGTGCTATGCAAGAAGCGGCCCAAGCGCGCTCTTTTTAAAGACGAATAAACGTATGCCTGTATTTTTTAGCTCAGTTCTGTTCTACTTTACACCAAGTTAGAGAATCGTGAACGACTCCACGTGACGCTGGCCCCGTCAAGCTTCAGTGATTCCCAATTGAAAAAAAAAAAGTCAATGAGGTGGCAAGCATCAACGTAATAACACTCGGCAACCCGTCTGCGCCGAAAATGACTTTTCATCGGAGCGAAGCGCGCGCTCGTTGGACCGAATAACGGAGAATGCCTGGCTCGATGCGTGAGAGCACAGTACGTGCTCTTGAGGCACCAATCACTGCGCAAAGAGACTAGCGAACTATGAATATTTTGAAAGTGTGCAATAAGCTTATTGCTACAACGGTTTTTTTCTATATTGATGTGTTTGAACTCCTGTCAAAAATTCACTCACTGATATAGAAAAGGCAATCGCTAAAACAATTCCATAAGTGCGTTTACCTCTTTCCCATTTTTTCCTATGGGCTTTAAGCAATATTTTTTTTTCTTTTTCGTTGACATACCCTACATACTTTCTGAAAGTGTTGTTCAGAGAAAGTATTCATTGATTTGTGGGGTTTAACGTCCCAAAACCACCATATGATTATGAGAGACGCCGTAGTGGAGGGCTACGGAAATTTCGACCACCTGGGGTTCTTTAACGTGCACCTATATCTGAGCACACGGGCCTACAACATTTCCGCCTCCATCGGAAGTTCAGAGAAAGTAAATAGACCATATACGATTCTGTCGTTGCAGGATGTTAAAGGTAGTTAAAATTGAACGTTGATAGAGTGGTATTAGTCTCTGTCAAATTTTTCTGACCGACTACACATCAGTAACACGATTCACAACAAGTTTTATTTTTATATGCAGTTGACCATTGTCCTATAGGCAGCAATGTGTAGTAATGGCATCGATAACGAAAAGCTTTCATGAAACGCTGTTCCCATTAGGAGAGCCTAGGATTTAACCACATTCTCTTTTTTATTGTTTTTTTATTTAGTTGATTTCTAACCTGATCCGTATAGTGGCTCTCGGCTGATTTCATACGTGTTTTCACTTTAACAAGACCAAACGGCCTTTACACAATGAACTAATGGTCGTATTTCTCTCCTCTGCGCAGGTACATGGTGATGACAGCGACCACGCTGCTGTGTATCGGCGGCACGCTGGTGTTCGAGGACTCGCGGCCGACGCCGTACAACCCAGAGTACGCACCCGACTGCGCGCTCATCGTGACCACCACCAAGCCTCATGCGGCCATCATTCAAAAGCCGTCGCTAGCGTCGGCCGCCGGCTTACAGTACCTGTCCAACTTCGTGCCTCAGTGAGTGAATCCGGCGAAATTATTTCTTCGCTACCAATGCCTCTCTAGGCCTCTTATCAAGGTCTCTGCTGAATGTTCTCATGTTGACGTTGTAGATGTATCCGAGTTTCACACCCAGAGAACTAGACGCTATTCTTCTAATCAAAGTTTTGTGGAGGCCAATTTCATAAGTTATTGGCATGAGCGCTTTCTAATAGCTTTTCCGTAAGTCATTAGTCATTTGGTCTAAGCACTGGCTGCCGAACTACTATGCGCTGGATAACGGGTTACTGTGCCAAAAGCACGACATGATTATGAGCCATGCCACAGAGATATACTGTGGGTTAGGTTCGACCACCTGCATGGGGTTCTTCAATGTATACGTACTCGTAAATATAGGCACACCGGCGTTCTATTCCTATAGCCCCCATCGAAATGCAGCTGCCATTACTGGCAGTTGAACACACGCCGTATATCACTTGTGACAGTTTTGCAGCTGACTATATCAATCAATCAATCAATGTTTCTTTATTAGCGTCACAAATGTACATTGTGTGTAAGTATGCAGGAGGAGGTCCCAAGGTAGTAAACCGCAGGCGGGACATCTTATGTTAATACAAACAAAAAGCTAAAATACGAATAACGAAAGAGCAAGTCACAAAAACATCTCGAACTTTTTTTTACAAACAAAGCAAGATATCGAAAATTAACAAAATGCAGCAATTATACGTTAAATAGAGACTTTTTCTATTCTCTCTTAAAAACATGAATGTGCATAAGGTCTTTCATATGTGATAAAGAATCCCATATTCACAAAAAATGATGATAGGGAATTTCATAATATATATGAATAAAGTGGCAGCACCACTTCGGAATTCCCGAGCCCCATGGTGGGGAATCGTGTGTCAAATTAGGCTACTCAACCCGGGGTTGTTTTTGCGAATGAAAGTGACAAACTGTAAGCTGGGTTACGCATGGATGTTTAACGCGTAGGGCTACGGTAACTACAGAAACACACGCACTGAGAAGCGTGATAAATAATTTACCTCCTCATTCTCTTCTTGCCCACCTTTTATAAACACCTATAGGGGTGCTCATGCAGTGTTCATATCGGCAATATACCGGGGCTATAAACTTCCAAAAGCTGCAATGTCATCTTCAAGGATATGCAGCTCGTTTAAGGATAACTATAATGCTTTTCGCAACCACAGAGCGGTAATAACGCTCACGGCTACACCATTCCGGCAGGTGATTATACACGAATGGCCAGCCTCCATAAAGCAGGCTGCTGTGGACGAAAACTGAACGAAAATGAGAACGAACGAACGACGCAAACTAAATCAGCCAACACGTTTTCCGCCCCGAGCAAGCGCGAACATGCACAGCCTTTATCGATGAAGCAGCCGCGAGCACGAGGCAGTAATTACTTTTCCCTGTGTTCGTGCGAAAACGAACACGCAATCAAGTATTCGTGCTAGCCTGTGCGCCACATGAATTGCATTCCCTTACACACGTGCCAGCTTGTTCTGGCACGGGAGCTAGCTTGCACTTTAGCGCACCGTATATACAAAGGAGGTATATATAAGGAGTAACCCAGATTACACCCCACCAGTAATGATAGAAGAAGTCAGAAAAGCTTTGGAGAGCATGCAAAGGGGCAAAGCTGCTGGTGAGGATCAGGTAACATCAGATCTGCTGAAAGATGGAGGACAGATTGTGTTAGAAAAACTAGCCACCCTGTTTACGAGGTGTCTCCTGACGGGAAGAGTACCAGAGTCTTGGAAGAACGCTAACATCATCTTAATACATAAGAAAGGAGATGACAAGGACTTGAAGAATTACAGGCCGATCAGCTTGCTCTCTGTAGTATACAAGCTATTTACAAAGGCAATTGCTAACAGAGTAAAGAAAACATTAGAATTCAATCAACCAAAGGAACAAGCAGGATTTCGAACAGGCTACTCAACAATTGACCACATTCATACTATCAATCAGGTAATAGAGAAATGCTCAGAGTATAACCAACCCCTATACATAGCCTTCACAGATTACGAGAAGGCGTTTGATACAGTAGAAATATCAGCCGTCATGCAAACACTGCGGAATCAGGGCGTAGATGATGTATATATAAACATTCTGGAAGAAATCTACAGGGGATCAACTGCTACCATAGTGCTTCATAAAGAAAGCAACAGAATACCAATCAAGAAGGGTGTATGGCAGGGGGACACAATTTCCCCAATGCTATTTACCGCGTGCTTACAGGAGGTTTTCAGAAGCCTAGAATGGGAACAGTTAGGGATAAGAGTCAATGGAGAATACCTCAGTAACCTGCGCTTCGCCGATGACATTGCATTGCTGAGTAACTCGGGGGACGAATTGCAACTCATGATTACGGAATTAGACAAGGAGAGCAGAAAGGTGGGTCTTGAAATTAATTTGCAGAAAACGGAAGTAATGTACAACAACCTCGGCAAGGAGCAGCGCTCCGAGATAGGTAATAGTGCACTTGAAGTTGTAAAAGACTATGTCTACTTAGGGCAGGTAATAACCGCAGAGCCGAACCACGAGATTGAAGTAACTAGAAGAATAAGAATGGGGTGGAGCACATTCGGCAAGCACTCTCAAATTATGACAGGTAGATTGCCACTATCTCTCAAGAGGAAAGTATATAACAGCTGTATCTTGCCGGTACTTAGCTACGGAGCAGAAACCTGGAGACTTACAAAGAGGGTTCAGCTTAAATTGAGGACGACGCAGCGAGCAATGGAAAGAAAAATGGTAGGTGTAACCTTAAAAGATAAGAAGAGAGCAGAGTGGATTAGGGAACAAACGGGGGTTAAGGATATCATAGCTGAAATCAAGAAGAAGAAATGAACATGGGCAGGGCATGTAGCGCGTAGACAGGATAACCGCTGGTCATTAAGGGTAACTGACTGGATTCCCAGAGAAGGAAAGCGGGTTAGGGGGAGACAGAAGGTTAGGTGGGCAGATGAGATTAAGAAGTTTGCGGGTATAAATTGGCAGCAGCAAGCACAGGACCGGGTTAACTGGCGGAACATGGGAGAGGCCTTTGTCCTGTAGTGGACGTAGTCAGGCTGATGATGATGATGATATATAAGGGAGAAATATGGGCATATGGAAATCCATGTGTGCAACAGGGTTACCTTAAAGCCCACGGAATAGTGTCTGCTAATGGAATGAATGAAATGAAAAGACTTTATTTCCCGCTAATGAACTTAAAAATGTAATAACGACTTCGCGAGACACTGGTAAAAATATTATGGGTCATTGCCTGACGATGTACGGTGTTTCATGCTTCTCCGTTTGGAGTCAAAGCACGCTGCTCGGAGCTGTAGGTACGTAGCCAACTTCACAAATATGGGCGTCACCAACACTACTTGTTAGTCGCCAGAGCCACATCAAACTTGCTTTCCGAAAGCAAGAAGAACACAAGGGGCGAGCAATAGCCGCAACGAACACGTCGTTATTCAATGTAACCATGCGCAGCAATGTGGTGCTGTGTTGGCAGACTGATTGATTAATATTTGGGGTTCAACGTCCCAAAACCACCATATGATTATGCGAGACGCCGTAGTGGAGGACTCCGGAAATTTTGACCACCTGGGCTTCTTTAACGTGCATCCAAATCTGAGCTGAGCACACGGGTTCACATTTCCGCCTCCATCGGAAATACAGCCGCCGCAGCTAGGATTTGATCCCGCGACCTGCGGGTCAGCAGCCGAGTACCTCAGCCACTAGACCACCACGGCGGGGCGTGTTGGCAGACTCCGGCAGCAAATGTGCAGCGCAGGCAATAATGCTCAAACAACGTGTGTCCCTGTAAAACGGCGCAGTGTCGTAGGAGACGCAGCTGCACGTCTTGCCGACCAAAAGGATTGTTCGCTATTTGGAAGCATCAGCAACTTCTCTAAACTTGAAATTTATCTACATGCGACTGCCAAGGTGAAGACCTTTTATCGACTACGATTGGAAAAGCAACGCTAAATAGACTGGACGAAAAAAGGAATCCACCCTTTTCTTCTCGTAATCCTGATTCTACCAGCCCAAAAGTTCGCCACAATAAAATTATGTATACATTTGATTGAATTTGGTCAATATAGAGTGTTAGCACACGTGCTGCGTAGCATACAACAGAAGCCTGTATATTGAGAACTAACGCGGATTACTTTTTTTCTAATCTATCTATCTATCTATCTATCGATCTATCTATCTATCTATCTATCTATCTATCTATCTATCTATCTATCTATCTATCTATCTATCTATCTATCTATCTATCTGTCTGTCTGTCTGTCTGTCTGTCTGTCTGTCTGTCTGTCTGTCTGTCTATCTATCTCTCTATCTATCTATCTATCTATCTATCTATCTATCTATCTATCTATCTATCTATCTATCTATCTATCTATTGATCGATCGATCGATTGATTGTTAGGTTTTTTCTTTAGAATTGCACCAAGGGCGACAATAATGCATAGGCAATGTGTATGACATCTAGAGCAACAATTTACATAGCAGCACGATAAATGCCGCAATGACACACACTCTGTCACGCGTTGTCGTTATTCTTATCTTCAGACTTGTCAGACCTACAGGCAATATACTCTTACGCCTTCGAAATTAGACATTCTTTCGCATGAACGCAGTAATTGCAAAGGTGTGCGCACTGCGAACACTAGAATAATCAGCTTATCAAATCTGCGCCAATGCGGTAACTGCAGTACGAACAGTTCACGGAACTGCGCGGCAAGATCACGACTTGTGACAACGAGCGGGAGGGCCGGGCAAACAGTGCCACGGATATGGTTTGTAGCCCGGGTATTAGTGCTGGCGTAGAAACACTGTCGGTTCGCCTTTGGTTATTACGGCCTACATAATCAATCAGCTCCGCAAAACGTGCAGCTGTGTTTTTTTTTTAATACGGCACACGGCGCTCATATATATAGCGGCGACCACCGGTAACGCTTTGGTCGCGTCGAACGCTTAATTTTCGCGGTGATAGGGGTCTTTTAATCATGCCTTTGCAAGCCCGCCAAGGTCCTGACACCAAAATGCGGGAGCAAATGAGCGAAAGGTGTTCCAAACGAGGACGCAGGTGTGAACAAATGCGAACCCGGTTCTTTTTTTATTATTACCTCCAGCCTCGGGGCGACCAACTAGCCGCTGGCTGTTGTACATTGACGATTCTGACCAACCACTTTCAACGACCAGAGAAAGTCTCCGTCTTAAAGCCATGTCACAGAGCTACCACGATATTTCAGGTGCTGTGAGGCTGAGTCCTTACCTAAGTTATAATGTACGATAGCAAACCTAATTTTTTCTTTGATTTGCTTCCTTGCCCTCCCTCTCTTTTTGAGCCTGCGGTCGAATAAAATTTGTATATGGGCAGATGTGCCAGTTTGTCACTTCGGGTAATTTCCTAACAATATAGGTCCCTTGTCATTAGCAGTATACTTGAAGGCTGCACGGGTGCTAAGCTTTAACGCGTCACACTCCTGCGCCATGCGACTCATCAGAACGGAAGACTTTCTTGTTTGCAAATTTCTTGTTTAATGCAAATAAAGCTGTATTTCCGCATGCGAAAAGTTCAATGTGGTTATTATCGTCCAATATTTGCTCTTAAATATCATCGAGATAAGGACTAAACAAGCACGATCATCGAACAATGCGTGTCGCATGTTCATCGGCATCAGAACTTGTATATCGAGTCAGCCAAAGGCTTCTCAAAACAACTAACTAAATAGGATGAAAGGAGAATACAACTTACAGTGAAGTTTTCCCACGGTTTCACTATGTATGCTATGCCCATTTAGAGGCGACCCATTTCGCTAGTTAGCGCACTGTTTGAGAATTACCTGAAATAGTGAAATTCATAATCAATGCGTCTAAGATGTGTTTTGTTAATTTAGAGATGAAGTTAACAGGAGCACAGACGAATCATAGCGAGCTTCCGCGCTGCGCAGTCTACCGCAACGGGAAGCTGTTACGTCACCGAACTTGCAACATTCTGCATCAACCATGCGATGACCTCAAGAAATGTAGGGTAGGACACGAACACTCCAGGGAAATCGAACAACTAGAGAGATAAATACAAACGAAGGCAAAGCAGGAGAGTCAGATAAGCATATACGCAGCAGCGTATGGTCGCTAGCACTCCCACTTTTCGAGGGGCGACCCGAAAGGGTCGAGTGGTGATCGAGGGGTGCATATTTAGAACGTAACTTGCGCTGCCATAACGCACCCATGCATCGCGCCCCATAGAAGCACGTGATTCGCGAAGAGGCAACTATAAGCTTACGTGCAGCTCGGCATGGCTGTGACCCCTTAGTCCTTTTCCTCGCGTTGCCGACTTTCGTTTCTTTGTGGGACACGTGCATAACTCCAACCTTCCAGCAGCGCATATTTATCCGTTTCTCCGTCAGTATATGACGACACTGCCGCTTAAGTCACAAACACGCGTGCTCGTACCGCGAGAAGGTGAGGGCGAAGTACAGCGTGCATCTTTATCGGTTCGGTGCGTAAGGCAAATTGTCGTAACGGTGAATCTAGCGTATATCTATACGCGCACAGTGTTTCACAAAGAATGCGCCCGCAAACCTGACACTTTAGTTGTAGAACACGTGGTAAAGCATTTCTCTCAATTCTGTTGAATGTACTTTTGTAAGCAAGCGTGGCCACTTGTTCCGCATCTAGTATTTCGGTCTGTACGCGAAAGTTTACATCGTAGAACAAGTTTTTTTTTTCAAGTCACAATGCTGGAACACCAGTGTTCTAGAAAACCCAGAACATGATTAAGAAATAATATGAAACAGTTTGAAAGAGTGCAAAAACTTACACTGCTCTGTAAAAGAAATCGAACAACCAGCATATATAAAACAAAAATTGTGCCATGGACTGACGCGAAATCTTTGAAAAGGCGAATGACACATAAGTGAGAGCAGTGAAAAATTCAGAGATAAAGCATACGTAAAAGTTATAAAGGGTAAATTGAGGAACGTGTACACAGAGGACCGTTTATCTCAGCAGCGGCATGCGAGACGGCAGCAGCAGTGTTGCAGCTCCAGCAAATGGTCGCTTGCAACGAAGAAGCCTCCCATCGTATGAAAAATTTAAAAGCTGCTGGATCTCAATGCCTGGAATGTCAATTTCCATATGAACGTCATTGTAGTTGTTTGGCATCAGCCTCGGTGCATCGGGGGCTAGAGTGCTCTGCTTCTGACCAAAGGTCGCGGGTTCGATTCCGGCCATGGCATTCGCATTTCAATGTGAGCGAAAGTGTAGACGACCGTGTACTATGTCATGTCGGTGCACGTTAAATAATACCAGATCGTCGAAATTGCCGAAGTCCTCCGCTACGTTGTCCCTAATAAATATGTCCTCTTTTGGGAAAAAAAAACGCCGCATGTTAATATTACTGCAGTTGCTTGTCTTGTATGTTCATAGAAAATTCTTATTTCATTATTTTTAACGTGTTTATTTATTATAGCCGCTTCTATTTGTGGTTCAACCTTCAAACAAACAAAAAAGCAAGCCGTCGCGCGCAACTTCACATGTTACCAATTTGCGTCATTTGTGCAGGCTGAAAGCGGTGACGCTGACCGAGGGCCAGCAGTGCATCACGTTCGACGACGTGAACCAAGCGCTGCTCGAAGCCAAGGCAAAGTTCGGCGAGAGCGTACCGAACGAGATCTACGAACTCTCCTCGGACACGCCCACGCCCGAACACGTGACCGTGCCCTCGGAGATCATCCTCGATGCCTCCAGGATACTCGCCCAGAAGTGAGTATTTCGCTCGTAAAAATTAACAACTTTGTTTCCTCATGCAAACGCAAGAAGCTGAGTCTTTCAAAACACGAGCGATTATTTAGTAAGACCAATCATGATTACGTTAAATAAAACTAATAGAAAAAAATCGTGTAGAGTTGTGATCTGGGTCAGTTTTTACACGTTCTTGAGGATTTGAATTAGCCATAAGACGAAACAAAGAGGAGAGATGAAGCACACACAAAACACGAGTCATCGCGTGTTCTGTTTCTCACCTCAGGGCTCACAATGAAAGAGGAGAGGAGGGAGGGGGCTGATCGGGAGCTTTTTTCTTCGTTAAGGACAACGTAATGAAACCAACAGACAATGTAGTCAGAAAAGGTATAAGGAACGTTATTTGTAGGTTTTTCAACTGTAGTGTATCAGATATGGCATAAATAAAAAAGAGCAATCGTGGATAAAAAAAAACAAGTTTTCCTGCTAGGAACGGAACCTTCAATCTTCGAATGACGCGTCCGATGCTCCACCTGTCGAGCTACGGCAGCACTCACTTTCCTATCCAGTTTATGGGTCATTCATGTTTTGTGTAATCCTATGAGTGTTAGGCAAAGTCACTGGCTGCCATGACGGCGAGTGTGAAACAATTTTGCTTTCCAGTTGGCGTGGTGGAGCCCGTGATCTTATCACGAGCCGATGGCTGAACAATAAACTCTTGCATGCTACCTATGGAATCAAGTTAGCCGCAACGAGACCGTCGCTATGGCTGGTTCAGATATTCGAGCAAACAAAAACTGTGTCGTAGTAGTGTTCCACACTAAACAATTTGTATTTTCAATTGTATAGCATCGAATGTATAAACTGCCGCCTTAACATTCAGCAAGCCTAATCTCAGGCGATCGGCCGGACGTAAGGCGTCGTCGATATGAAACCCGTTCTTCGCGGCCTGGAATTTCGTTTCGACGTCAGCTGACTGCGTTCCGCACCGTGCACCTTATCGAAAGAAAGCGACTTTAAAGCCTCGTGACCTCTAAATAAAAACACAACCTCAAATATCAGCGAAGGCGTCAAAGCATTTATACATCCGCTTGCAGTATTTGTGCCGGCTGATGCTAGCTCGATAAGATTGCTATGTTGACATCGACACCGGCTTGTCGAAGCGCAGCAGCTGGTAGGGGACATGTACATATAGCTTCCACTATACCCGAAAGCCTCCTCTCGAGTCAAGGTGAAAGATTGAACGAGTTAGTTAATACTGTCGAATTCCTTTATTTAAAGCTGTAAGACAAAAGCGCTCATATAGTCTGCCGTTTACTATCTTTTTTTGTCGCTGTCTACGCTATGAAACTCTAACGATAAAAACAAAATAGTAAGTAGCACTTGTTGGATGTAAAAATTGCAGTTCACCCAATTTTCATGGGCAACATAACTACGCGACATCCTGATAGTTTGTTTGACAATGAGCACATAGGAACCCGTGTTAGGCAAAATAACGTTTTAGGCAAAACATTTTCGTACGAGAACATTTCAGCCATTTTTGGTATGGGGTATATCATCAACGGAACCAGCTGACCGATAAGAAAGCACATTTACAAAGTAGGAGTTCTGTGATTTCGGCCCCTGGTTGCTTGCTGGTGCACGTAATATACCTTCACCAATTTGCGCCTTCATTTTGTCTACAAACTCATAACAGTAATGTCCTGGCCAGGAACATTATTAAATTACAGTAAGTAACAATACAAGCAACCGTTTAGCAACATCGACCCAAATACATTTTATCATTCAGCAAAAATAAGCGGCTGTCGGACAGTCGTTATTGTTAGCCAAATAAAAGCTAAGACACTGTAAATGGCAGATAATTCACGCTCAGAAGAAGAAGCCAGTTAAAATCGTACTACTCGCGTAGTGACGACCATAGTCTCACAGACAAGATGCGAACGCGCGTCTTCTACCGTCGCAGGTTCTCGCTGTCGTACCACGCCATCGTGTACGGCCTGCCTCAGATCGACACCTCGAAGACGATGGTGAAGGACATCTGCCCGACCTTCCTGAAGCCGGTCAAGTGTGAGCTGAGCCGTTACCGCACGCTCACCGGAATGTGCAACAACCTCGAGAATCCGTCCTGGGGATCCGTACGATCGGCCATGGTGCGCTACCTGCCACCTGCCTACGCTGACGGTAAGGATTGCACCCCCTTCATTGTTCAGCTTCCCTGTTTAACCGGCATGCACCGTATGTACATAACTGTAGTCAATTGCAGAGCATTTTAACACACATATAATAGTGTTGTGAAAGGTATATATTTGACACGTGAAGTAATGGTGACATTATATACGAACGATTCCGCTCACTGGTTCTTTGCGTCTACGAGAGAGAGTTTTCACTTAGATCGACATCATACACGGCGAGTCTTGGCAAATCATGGGCAACGTGTGTAAAAATAGCATAAAATCTTGCTCGTTTCTCTAACATCACTCAAGAGCAGTAGAAAGTCAAGTCATTGTCCACGAATTGTGAACAGTCTTTCCGAGCTGACTTTCAACATCTGTGTATACATTGATGCACCACCGTTAATGGCCAGACTTATATAACAATAAATAAGCCATCCCATCAATAACAAAAAAAGTAAAGAGCCCGGCACTGACCTTGAAACGGGTGAGCCTGCAAGCGACTACAATAAAAACAATATTTCTCGTATACGAACGTCCTTTCGCACCGAGAGCGGGAACAATCGGTTCGAAAACGCACGCGCGGGCAGTGTATTCGCTTTTTACGCTACGCGCAAACTTTTGCCGCTGAAGAATCTTAACGTTTCCTCGTGACTCAACAGACTGGGAAACGACGTCGTCTCGGGTCGAATAGAAAGAGACACGCATGCAAAGACGGAGTTCGCCCAAGGCTGTGTACCTCAGACGCGGCGTATTGAAATGGGCCACACGGCTGCACCATCACTTGCGCTCACGCGGCCCGCAAAAAGGACGCGGTGCCGTACGCGATGCTCTTTAGGAGGTTTTCGTGAGGAAAACTTGGTGGAAAGCAAACGAGTGACCAACAAAGAAGAAAGAGAATAAAAATAAAAAAGGACGAATGGCACCGCGCCAGCGCTGCCACAAGCGGCTCAAGTACGCTGAGTAATTAGACAGAAAGAGCTCCATTGTAGTGGCGGCAAGATCAAATCAGCAGCCTATACGCTCAAAGGAGCACCTTGCTTTACAACGGGCGAATAACGTGAAACAGTTTGCTTTTTTGCTTTTTTTTTGTGCTGACACCTTCTGCGGGAAAAAGTGCGGCTCAAAGACTCTTGCGAACACTCTCAATACTTGTCAAGCAATATAAAGAAAATGCAGAGCAGGAGGGAACCTTTAAAGTCCAGTCTTATATTTGCATTAAAGTGAAAAATAGCGTTCAAAAAGAGATAGAATCGCCTATTTCGACGCGTCTCTTGGTTAGCGGACGGGTCAAGTGCAATGAGCAGCCAGCTGCGTTACTTTGATGGCGATTGATTGCTCGATGGATGATAAAGTCACGAAGACGCATCAATCGACAGGTATTTCGCTGCACGATGCTCCCTCGGGACAAGTTTCTCGGACAGTTGAGACCAGATAGTAATAATTACGTTCAACAGCCTTCAACACATTGGCTTTTCCAGCACTACGACTTATAATGTGGCATAGCCTCCCAGCACAATACTCAACATCTTTTGGTGCCTTTGTTAGCTACAACTGCGAAGAAATAAAAATAAAAATAAAATGAACGATTCTGACTAAACCACATTTTCTGCGAAATTCTTCGACGCTCTTTAACATCGGTTGTGCCTTTTCGAGTGTGCCACAAGTAAACTCATCGCCTGTATTTTCTTCAAATTTAACTAGTTTCGAGTGAAGTGCCCAATGATTTAATATATTTAATGTGCGGTAAGACCATTTTACGGAATATAAAGTTGGAACGACGTTTCAAGCCTTTATTGGGAATAAGCAAAGGAGTTGGTGTAAAAGAGAGAGACACAAGGCAAGATAGGGAGGTTAATCGGTAAGACAATGAAGTAAGGTTACGCCTGGTTTGCTATTCTGCATTGAGAAAAGTCACTAAGGAACTTCACGCATCTATGTACGTGTGGCACAGTGCAAAAAAAAAAATAAAGCTCGATACAGTGGGGATTCAAGAAAAATAACGTTCCTCTTCCAGCCTTAAGCTTGTAACGCAATTTTAATTATAATGAAAACATGGCCACTATCGTCGTAGTGATACGCCAACAAAGCATAAAATATGGATAGATATGTGGGGTTTAACGTCCCAAAAGCACCACAAGATTACGAGAGACGCCGTAGTGGAGGGCTCCGGGGATTTTGACCACCTGGGGTTCTTTAACCTGCGTCCAAATCTGAGCACACGGGCCTACAACATTTCCGCTTCCATCGCAAATGCAGCCGCCACAGCCGGTATTCGATCCCGCGACCTGCGGGTCAGCAGCTGAGTGAGTGCCTTAGCCACTAGATCACCACGGCGGGGCGACAAAACATAAAATAAATAACAGATGAAGGGCGGAGCGATTGACCACTGACCTACTGTGCCGTCGGCTGCGCTGCAGTGAATGTCAGGAAGTGGGTAGAAAGCGTAAAGAGAAAGATATTAAAATGAAGAAAACCTGCCCACGCAATCCCAAGCACGCTACGTCATCAAAAACGGCGTAGCTTCCTTGAAGTCGTCGCTAGACGAATGAAACTGGGGGAAAGCGAAAGAACGTCGCATCGCGAGCCGAGAGACGCTATCGCGAAGTATATATCACATCCGGGACGTCCTGCAGGTACCGGCGCAGTGTTTGCGTTTTCCGGAAGTGTCGCGACCGATCTGGCACGCTCGAGTGCGACGGCAAACGATTGGTGTCACACGCAATAGCGCATCGATAGCTGCATTCCATCGGGGCTCTCATTACACTGGCTACTCCTATAGCCGCGCGTACGCAGTTCCCGCCAACTGTGCGCCGATAAAGTCGTCGCGTAAAATACGCTGGTTCTAGAACACAAGCCGTCACCTCCGCAGGTGGCTCGTCTGGGTCCTCCTATTACGCCTCATTAGCGACAGAAAGGCGGTGCTGGTGGAATTCACGATAACGTCGGGATCGGCCTATTTTTTGTTTGTTTTTCTTGACTCCGCATCGGATTACGAAAGATGGCTCACCGGATTCGGGGAGGAACGTACAGCTGCTCTCGCATCTCTAAAACTCATCCTCGAGGGCACACAAAGCAAATGAAAAAAAATCTAAATAAACGAAGTGTAGGACCGTAAGTGAGAAATTAACTGGAGCGCCGCGAATCCGGGCTTCGATTACGCACGTTGCGTGCGTCTTTCACGCTTGATTCAAGATTCTCTTCAGCAAGTGAGAGCGCCGAGAATACTTTCATTCGAAAGAAAATAAAGCAGAAAGGCAACGCAAGACATTTGGTACAAAGACACTATATTTAAAGCACTCCCCAACGTTGCACACCATTCATGACTATATAGCCTCGTCCACTTCCCGACGTTTTGGCTTCCTTGCCGAGAGCTATGTATAACGAAGTCGATCGCTAACGAGGATAGCATGCTGACTTAAACAAGAAGCTCATTGGTGCGTGAACGCAATTATCAATGAATAAAGGCGAACGCGACGAAGTACTGGGCTCTCGAAATAATTAATTCTAAGTATACGAAAGCTAACAGGTGCAGTCCTCCGTGCAACCGCGTTAGCGGTGTATAGTTTAACTGCTAACAGGTAGAGTGTACATGAACGGAACAGGATGTACAAACCAGGCCAAATCGTTGAATATATACGTACTAGTTGAAGCAAGACAAGTAAGCGCGCAAATTTAAAGCAAGTGCTGAACGCGATCTTTCACATAAAATCACCCCCTCGAAAAGTATCCCGGAGTATGAAAGTTATAAAAGAGAATAAATTTTCATTGTTAATTAGCCTTCCGAAGTGTAATTACAAAACGCATCATGTAGCTTTGAAAGGTTTTATATCCGACCAAATGATTTGTATCTGAGTAAATTGATTGATTGATTTTGGGGTTTAACGTCCCAAAACCACCATATGATTATGAGAGACGCCGTAGTGGAGGGCTCCGAAATTTCGACCACCTGGGGTTCTTTAACGTGCACCCAAATCTGAGTACACGGGCCTATAGCATTTCCGCCTCCATCGGAAATGCAGCCGCCGCAGTCGGGATTCGAACCCGCGACCTGCGGGTCAGCAGCCGAGTGCCTTAGCCACTAGACCACCTCGGCGGGGCGTATCTGAGTGAAGCTAAGGTTAGGTGAGAAGGTTTGTTATATGGCGCACACCGAATGGTGACGCGTACATTTAAAAAAAAAATGTGCGCTTTAACATACAAGCAAAAGCGTGCAATATAGTCCAGGGTTCGACTGAACACCATCTGGCGAGCGGCAAAAATTTCTTGCAAATAAACGAACACTTGCCAAAGTTGCAACGCCAAAGTTCGTTGCGACTTTGACGAGTGTTGGGTTATTTGCAAGAAAAACAAAAAACAAGTGTGCAATGTAATCATGGATTACACGTCATGTGTTGTGACATTGGCACGTCAACAAAAATGTTTGCTTCCTTTCCCTCACCATAGGTTCTTCAAACAAGTCTGCATATAGAAGATCCATTGCCACTTCAAGGTTATTATCGCACATTTAGGAAACTTCCCCGCTCTGTTTAATACCACTTAGTTGTAAGACGGAAAATTCCATTCATGAATAGGTGATTATGAGAGTGTCATTGAATGGCTAGTATGTTTCCAGTGGCACACTCTTCATGTTACTTTTCTATGTATACGAAATAAGTTGCATATACCAGTCTATGTGTGCGTCAGAGATAGAGGGAGAGAGATAGAGAAAAAGAGGCAGACAAGCCGAATAGGTCGTGGTTCTATAACGTGCAAGGCAATGTTTAATTTTCTAAGCTTGCAGGGTAAAGAAAACTACAAGTGTCTCGTGCAGTGCATAACAGGCTAGTTGTGCATGGCACCGCTTACTTCGCTACACCACTTTAATAAAAAAAATCCACAACAAAAAATGCAGTACAGCTGCAAGAAACGCTTCTACATGCCAGACTGCCGACGGCAGAGTTATTTCGTATATTTCCTTCACCGAAGGTACTAAAACGCTTCCGTTCCTAAATGGGTCGACGAACTTTC